GTACAAAAAAAAAATTAAGTAAAAAAAAAAAAAAAAAAAAAAAAAGAAACCACTTTTAAATACATCTTCACCGACAATGACTGCTATAGAATGAGCATCTAATTATCCGAAGAGCATTCAAAAGCTCTCTCCCTTCTTAATTATAGGAAAAGCTTGGCTCTTACACAGATTTAGTAGAACTATATTTAATATCAGGGCTCCACAAGGAGATGTTTCAAAAATACTGGAAGCTAAATATAAAATGATTATCCATTAAATTGCATGCTAATTATTTTAATAGTCTCTTTTTGGCACATTGGCATTTATATTATGTTGCTTTCAGTCAATGTGAAATGTTAGTGACTGCACGCCTTACAACTATGCTATAAATCCTTATGTCTCTTAAATGGTTGTCACATGACTTACATTGCTACAGTATGTTGCTGGAACCGAGCAGAATAGAAAAACAGTTAAAAAAGTAGTAAAAAATAAAATAGAAAACGATTGGACGGAGCTAGCAGTGACAGCTAGCTCCGCCCAACTGTTTTCTATTGGCCGGGCGGTTCTGCTGCTGTCAGAATTAAAAAAACTGATGGAGAACTTCAGGTACCCTCTGCTGATTAACAGCAGCAGTGGGCGGGTGCAATAGCTATTTTGCTATTGGCTATTGCAAATTGAAATAGCCAATAGGAATCTAGCTATGCATTCCTATGATTATTTTTTTTATTATTCTGACGGCAGCCAATGGCTCCGATGTCAGAAGAAAAGAAAAAAAAACGAGCAGGGAAAGGTTTACTCTGCTCGATCGAGCAGAGTAAACCTTTCTGGGAGAAAGTGTTTCTCTCCCAGGCGGCCGGGAGCTGCTTTAGACTCCCAGAGCGTCCGAGAGAGTAATGACAGATGGCGTCCCTGGTTACCAGGTAACCAGGGACGCCATCTGTCATTACACACAGAGAACAAGGAGAGGCCACTGTGATATCATAGCGGCCCGGCTGGGTTCTCAGTGTGTAATGACAGCGTCCCTGGTTACCTGGTAACCAGGGACGCTGGTCTCTCTGCAAGTGGCCGGAGCCAGCCGTGAGATGATGGCTGGCTCGGCCAGCTTCGGCTTTAACCTCGGCTCAGTCGAGCCGAGGCATATGCCTTCGGCTCGACGGAGCCGCTCGGCCAGCTTCGAGAGCTGTACGGGCTATAGTGAATATCCCGTACATCAGCCATCCGGTTCTACTGAACCGAAGGGGTCCTGGGGCCGAAGCATCAGCTGAAGCTACGGCTAGATCCTTCAGCTTAGTGAATAGACCCCTAAATATAATCCAGTTAGGGTTTAGAACTACTTTAAGCAAGCAAGAGTCTAGAATAGTATGGATGGATTTATTGTTTTATGAAGAGTAATGCAAAGACTGAAAAGTTTCACAATACAGGTAGTGTCATCAAAAGAGGAAAAAAAGTTAAAAAGCCATTTTTTTAGTAGTGGCTATGTATTTAACAGGATTTATTTTTTTTAAAGTTTGTTTGTTAGTGAAAATAAACTTTTTTTGTATCAGAAAAAAAATAAAAAGGATTGCATGAATAACCCCAATATAATTTAATATATTAGGATATTTAGGCCCCTTTCATATGGCCCGCCTCTTGGTTTTTCAGGCGGACCTGATCGGAAGCCCAATGTTAGTTTATGGATCCGCAGCCGGATCTATAAGGATGGGCATTCGTTTACCCACGGTTCCGGCCAGGTCCAAAAAGATGAAAGGATCAGAGTTCCGTTTCGCCGCACCTGATCCGGCTTGATCGGAGTTAATCTGATGTAAATGGACACATGTCTGTTTACATCCGATTCCCCATAGACTGACATAGGGTCCGGTCAATTTAATTTTTTTCCTCCATTGCTGTTTCATAATAAATAGTCTACTAACATCTCACCAGCTTCATCTGATCAAGCATAATAAAACTGTAACAGACAGCTATTATCAGTCATGGATCATGATCCATCCACCTACCACAGCTGTTCTGTACTCAGAATTAATAATCCAGATGTCAGGGTCATTTCATTATTTTGTGGCCATCTGAAGACTGTAAACACACAAGACCATGTCACAAAGAACTCTACTCCTCAGAACTTTACTTCATAAGATCAGCAGTCAGTAGTCGAACACATTGTAATTAACATGACATTGAGACATTGAAGCTACCCTATTTATTTACAGGGGATTGTCACCTTAGTTTTTCAGTAAAGAACACATTTTAAATTTTTTTTTTAGATATGTAGATCCCTGCCAGATCTTAAACATACACTTCCCCATCTCAGCATTTCTTTTTTTGAGTAGCAGTTAG